GGTAGGTCTCTGTGGGAAAGTTGATGCTTAGGAAGGTTATGCAACTTGCTTCCCCAGGGTAATCCAGCCTAGTAGTAAATAGCAGCTCTGAGATTTGAAGCCTGACTTGTTTGCCTCTGGAATTTGTTCTCCACTATGATAGCTTTCTTCAGTAAGAAACTGGTCTGATCCTAAGCATGTGGGCATTTTTGGTCAGTTCTGTAAACATGTGGGCATTTTTGGTCAGTTCTGTAAAACTTGAGCTTCCACAAAGGCTTGAACATTTTTTTCATGCATACACAAACATGCGTCTAAGTTTCTTTATAGATTGAGATCCTAAGCTTAGATGTTAAGAGTATAAAATTAGTCCTTTGTTTTTAGGTATGAAAGATGGCCAGAAGATAACATTCCATGGTGAAGGAGACCAAGAACCAGGACTGGAGCCAGGAGATATTATCATTGTTTTAGATCAGAAGGACCATGCTGTTTTTACTCGGTAAAAACTTTTATCAGATACTCTAAAATTAACATCTTGCATATCTGGCGTTTGGGGGATTTTTCTTTAATTTAAATGAGCTTTTCATTATTTTGGGAACACATTTCCTGGAAATAGCCTAGAAGAGTATACCAGCAGAGTTAGGTTATGTGTAACATCTTTCATAAAAGATTGTTAATCATTAATGTTTCTATATTAAAAGATGCTAAAAACAAAAGTAATCAGCTTTTAGCTTTTGTCTAAATTTAGGTAAATTACTGCCTAATCTGGGTTTTGAAGGATATACTTCAATTTGGATATGTTTTGTATGAGTATAAAAAGATGGATTAGGCAAAACTTTGTCGCCAGTTTTTGTATAAGCAGTTAATTGTGAAATAAGTGCCCTAAAGCTTTCATGAATTTCTTCAATCCTGAGTTCATAAGTTGGGTTGCTTTTAATTTTACATATCTAGAATCATCTCTAAAAAATGTTGATTCAGGTCTACTGTTAGAAAATACTTAATTCTGTGTTTATGATGAACCTAGAGTGAAGCACAAGAAAGATAGGTTAATTTTAAAACACTGGACTGAAATAGGGTTCCAGTGAGTTTGTTGGGAATGAACGTCTAAAGGAATAGGTTTTCAATGAATAGTGTCTTAACAATAATAGGACATGTTATAAAATATCTTACTAATATGAATTGGAAAAGAAAGTTAAGCATGAGGAGAAAGTGGGCTGTAACTAAATACAAAAGATTGTATTCATGGAAGATTGTGTTCATAATGTGCCAGGCACTGCATTACTTCAGGTAATCAGTAAATTCTTACTATCCCTTGAAATTGGCCATATCCCCGTTACTTAGTTTTATAGACCTGAATAATCCAGGACCTAGCCTGAGGTGTGTTCCACTTAAATGGCTTTGTCCTTTCTCCTTTATGTATGTTTGCTTTCTTTTAGCCTCATTATTGGAAGGGTGGTTTTTTTTTCCCCCAGTCAGAAACTAGATTTAAAATTAGGTAATGAAACAATTCAGGGATGGTAAGTGGCAGAGGTTGCTGCCTAGAACGTGTGGAAGGATTCTGAAGCCTTCTCCAGGAAACTGCTGGCAGGTTCCATATATTTGCTGTTTGCAGTTCTCAGCTCTGTTTTTAGAATGGAAGAGAAAGGATATCTTTTGAAAGATACCCTTTGTTTTTGTTTTAGTTTATGTTTTGTTAGAACTGCCTGCTTTGGTACTTGTAATCATTGGTGCTTTGAAAAATCTAAGTATATGCCATATTTATATCGTACAGACGAGGAGAAGATCTTTTCATGTGTATGGACATACAGCTGGTTGAGGCATTGTGTGGCTTCCAAAAGCCAATATCTACTCTTGACAACCGAACCATAGTCATCACTTCTCATCCAGGTATGGTAACTAGATAAACTTCTCTTTCTATTCTAGTATTCTCATTGTCTGCTGGTAGCTTGTACAGTCACTGAGAAAAGTAGTATTTAAGTTTCTCAGTACATATCCAGCCTTGAGCTGCGCTGAAATTGTGCATTCTTGGCTCTTTTGTAAGCCCCTAGAAAATCCATAAACAAGACCCAGATCCTTTCACATTAATTTACCTTAATCATTGAGCTCTAGGACATCCTCTGTCCTTTTCCCCGTCTCATAAAAGTGTGACTGTATTTTAAAGACTTTGGCTTCGATGTTTTTAGGTCAGATTGTCAAGCATGGAGATATCAAGTGTGTGCTAAATGAAGGGATGCCAATTTATCGTAGACCATATGAAAAGGGTCGCCTAATCATTGAATTTAAGGTAAGCTATAAAGTACTCTAGGAATATTTGAGAATGATTCTGAATGGCCAGAAACAACAAATTTATATCCTCCCTTGTCCAGACCTAGTATTCCTTTCATATTGAGAATTTTTCAAGTTGTGATTGACTTACTTGCATCATTGGCAATTCAAAGATTGGCAGAGGAGGGGTGTGTGGCAAGTGGGTATATTACTAATGAAAGGCTAAAACTAGAATATTAAAGTTCAGCAGAAGTGCAGTAGCTAGTATGGGTTTTGGGCAAAATACTGCAGTGGCTGTTAATAGAATGGTTCTTGGAACAATCCAGTCATTTCCCTCAATTTTAAATTGAGTGGCCTCGGACGTACAAATTTAACATTTTATTAAAACATTTTTGGGTAAGGGGCTCCCTTTTTGAGTAAGAGTAGTAAGAGTAGTACCCATTAGAAGGAATTAGAATGCATTTTAGGATGAGTTCTCCCATTAAAAATTATTTGCTGAATAGAATAATGTTCATTATAGTGCAGGTTACTAGGATCATTTTTTTAATGTGCCTTGAGCTCCAGCTCAGAATACTAGGTGACATATGCCTTTTTAGAACTTGTATTCTAACCTGGAATTGGCAGATTTACCAAAAGATAATGTGGTTATGTGTGTTTTTCTGGGGGAAAATGGGTCAATGGTAATTTGTCTAAGGAGCTCCAAGGATGAAGTAACTTAACTCAATTGGACTTAAAGTAGAAATTTCTTTTTATAGGTAAACTTTCCTGAGAATGGCTTTCTCTCCCCCGATAAACTCTCTTTGCTGGAAAAACTCCTACCTGAGAGGAAGGAAGTAGAAGAGACTGATGAAATGGACCAGGTAGAACTAGTGGACTTTGATCCAAATCAGGAAAGACGGCGCCATTACAATGGAGAAGCATACGAGGATGATGAACATCATCCTCGGGGAGGTGTTCAGTGTCAGACCTCTTAATGGGGCCAGTGAGCACACTCACCACTGGCATTTTATTTGCAGTAGTGAATGAGTGAAGGACTATCATCATAATATGCTCACTACTTGCTATTGTTTTTGTTTTAATATTCAACTATAGTAGTGTTTTAAAAGTTAATTGAAGAATAAACTCGAATATAAAAGCTCTGACTTTGCCATGTATGTATGATGAGTTCAGTGTGCAAGATAAGTTCAATACCTGTAAAAACTTCCTTAAAAAAGTTTCCCCTAGCATTTGTTAGGTCATACCTTGTAATTCATTTCAGCTGTGTACATGGACTAGCTTAGACTGAAATGCTAGGTGTATGTATTGACTTCAGTGTATGACCCTTATTGTTAAGCTATGAAGTTAAAACTGTATTTAACTGGCAGTCGGACAACTTAATTTGTAGAGAAGTGTTGGTCTGTATAGTTGTATTAAGTGGGATTCATTGTGATGCCTCCGCATTTATTCTATTGCCTTAGTTGTTACTTGAAGATGGCATGCTATATGATTTAATTTAGCCTGTGGTATCAGTGATAGAAATGATACCTTTCTAAAAAGGGGTTTATCATGACATGCTGCTTCTTGAGGGCTTGCATTTGTAGAATTGCATTCCCTTCTGCTGTGCCATCTTTTAATATAGATAACTATCGGTCCTGGTTATTTTTTTCCCTTCTCTTTGGACCACGATAAGCCTCAAAGTAGTAGTGACTTCTGGAGCAGGGTAACTTAGAAATTAGAGTGATGAGACCATTACATGGAGAAGTATTTTGTATGTATGAGATAAGGTGTTTTGCAGTATGTTACAGGCTTACTTCAAACCATTTAACTTATGCTCCAGAGTAACTGTAATTTAATGTTGGTAGTATAGCAAATTATGACAAATAGCTTTAATTGTATGTTTAAGTCATTTGTTCACAAGCTTAAATCTGGATATCAGAATTTAAGCAATTCTTGAAATGTATGGATGTCTCCTTAATACACTGATTACAAAGCATGTCCAATGTGTCACCAACAGGCTTTTTTTTCCCAGCTTAAAATACTGGCTTTTCAGTAAGGTAGGTAATTTTTCATTTAAGTAGTTAAAATGAGTAATACAAAAAATACTATTTAGCCATAGTTTAATGTTTTAATACTAAACAAGGGTGGGGAGTGAAAATGGAGGGGTGAGTAAGAGCAAAAAAGAAGGAGTGGGGCTTAAAAATCTTGACAAACACTGGAGTGCGAGAGAATATGAGAGCTTTTTGCTTACTTATCCTGCTCTGGTTCTGTATCTCCTATAATCAGGAGGTGTTTATTTCTAACCCGGAAGTAACCCACAACTTAAGTTCTCCTCAGAACACTTGAATTTAAAAAGGAGAGACAAACTTCCTATAAAGTGCAAATTTCCCAAACCTTCAGTATTTCATATCATAGTAACATTCTTAATTGATAGCCTCTCTCTCTTGTTTCTTGAGTTATCTTCTTTTAGTCTGTGGCCAGACAGCTACCCCTCGTATTTGGATATGAAGGTGTTCAGGAAAGGAAAACAAATATTCAAAATAATAGTTGACAAATTTTAGTTTTTATTGAATTTATTTATATTACAGATTCTAAAAAGTTCTATAAGCCTGTATTGTAATGCATTTTAAGAAGCATTTTGAAAACTACAAAAATCCTTACATGAGGCTTTCAGTATTACCAGTCATGAGAGAAATACAGTGAAACTTACAGTGAGATATATACCAGTTCACACCTTCAATCCAAAATGAATTGAGAATGGAGAAATTGGAACCTTGTTGGTGAGCATATAAAATGGTGCAGTTTCTGTGGAAAACTTGGGCAGCTCTTCAAAAAGCCAAACATGGAATTCACCATATGACCCTGTAATACCATTCCTTGATTCAGATAAATGTGTGCCTATGTTTATTGTATCCTTATTCATAATAGCCAAAGGGGAAACAACTCATGTGTCCAACAGGTGGATAAACAAAATGTGTTACATATGTATGTGATAGAAAATGACTTCCATTTATGAAATACTTAAGCAAATTTGTAGAGGCAGAGATTACCAAGGGCTGGGAGGAAGAGGAATGGAAAGTTAGCGTGTGCTTAATCATTTGGGGTGGTTAAAGTTTTGAAAATACAGTGATGATTTGCACAACATAGTTTTTAATAATCATTAATGCTACTTAATTATACACTTAAAAATGGTCGAGTATGCTTTGCTTTTGTTTCACTACAGTTAAAAACTTAAAATAGAAATCACTAGAAGAAAAAATAGTTACAACCTGGAGAGGCAGAAACTGACAAGTCTGTAGTCTGTAAAAACTAAAAATCAAATAATGCCTGTTTGGAATTCTAGCCAGGGTTGTTACAGAAATACAAGCGTATCCATGTAAGTGTAGTTCCTGGCCCCCACCACTAACGCTTTGTTACGCTTCATTCATACTTGCAGAGAGTAAGAATAGAAGCTGATTATGTCCCACAAGGGCCCTTGTGGAAGATGGTGGCACATCTTTTGTGAAATGAGAGATCTTTCTCTGCCTTTAGTACTGGCTCTCAACCTTGGGCTACAATTGGAGTTAACCTGGGAAGCTTTAAACATGACTTGTGTCTCACTCTCCAGGGGTTTTGGTGTAGTTGAGCAGGGTGTAGCCTAAGCAACAGGATGGTTACATACAGTCAAGGTTCTATGCCACCACCATGGGGACATGGTTATATTTATTACCTAGAACAGTAATGCCACTGTTAAAATGGCTGGAGACGGTCAAATAATGGCAGGCCTTGCTATTGCCAAGTTTGTTTCAGGCCAAGGGAGCCTCCCAGCCTAGACATATACCATGTATGATAATTTCCTGTCTTCTGAAATAATGTGTGAAGATGAAGCACGTGCTCTGAAAGCACACTAAATGAAAAATGCTACCATGCTAGAGCAACACAGGTGCGCTCTGAAGGGTTTCTGAAATTTTGTACCTCTGCCACCTATCTGGTTATCTCAGCAACCTTTGAGGACTGACAGAACAAGAATTAAAACACCCAACTTGTGAATGAAAATGCCCTCTATGTCTACAGGTTCTCAAATGTGAGCATGCTTGCTGAGCCCCACTGCTGCACTTTCTGATTCTGTAGGTCTAGGGTAGGACCTGAGAAATCTGCGTCTCAAACAAGTTGCCAGGTGAACACTCAGAACCACAGCTCTGTCCTAAGTGAAAAATGACAGCAGACTGGAATCCAGGTTCTTGTAATTCAGTATTCTTTCTATTCATCTCACTGCCTGTGTTCAGTTTAGATAAATTATTAACAGAATGTGGAGAAATAATCCATGGATTCTTTGCCCAAACCTCAAAACTGAGAAGAAACTGACAGCATCTAGATTGGAAAAGAGTAAAGAAAGTGAGCTTTGGAATCCGACCTGGTTTTCAGTTCCAGGAGCAAGGTATGGAACCTCTGGAAACCTGTTTCCTAATGTGTATTATGGGAATCAGAATAGGCTGCTGCTCTTAAAGTGGTTCTGAGAAGGCTGCTTACATAGTAAGGAACATCTTGATAAGTGCTATTAGTGGTAGTAATGCAAGTTGAAAAATAAATTCCTGGAGAAGATACTGAATTGTACCTGAGATGTTATTTTTTAATAATATGCTGTGAGGTATTAGGTGGTGGTTTTCTAGAGTCATTCAACAGGTGAGTGGGGGAACAATTCATGGAGTTAACTTTAATGCCACGTATTTTGAGTTTCAAGTCCTGGAGAAGAGTATCGAGAGTATCAGTTAAATAGGTGGGCTGCAGCACAGCATCTCCTTGAGAACCGACAGAAAATGGCCATTGATGGCTATCCAGCTGCTATCCACTCCTTTAGCCTCTGTCAATTTGTACACTGAACAGCAGCCCAGTAGCTCCAGTAGATGCCTCCAGCCAGCCAGCCACTTCCTGCAGGGGTGAGAGCCCAGGTGCCCATCCCATTCCCACAGTTCCTTGCTGCTCAGCCCAGGGGCATACGCACCCCTTGGGTTAGTGTGGCGTGCCCTTCAGCTCCTGATGCTCCTTTTATGGTTAATCCCTCCAAGGAAGCCTTTCCTAACCCAGTAGGTCTGGGTAATGCCCCTCCCATTATCCAAAAAAAACCAAGATTTTCTCTTAACCCCAATACCTTAATCCTGTTAACCTGCTTTTTCTCCCCTATCTTCTGACAGAAACTGGTCTTTTTCGCCATCCTCAACATTAGGTGCAGGAGCAGTGGTGTCTGATAAAAATTCCCAGGAGGTGCTGACTAGATTCTTGCTCTCCATGAGCCTTGGCACAAAGTATGCATCTCGTAATTGCCAGTTTGAGGCCATAGGTTAAATCAAAACTCCCAATTTCGTAAAGGAACTTTTTTCTAACTTTTTCCTAAGGTTTTTGTTTTGTTTAGCATAAGCTATTTCTTTTTACCTTAAGTGAAAGCTTCTTTGGGGAGGAACAGGATCTGTTCACATAGAGTGGTGGCTATTGTTCACCTCTCAGAATGGCGGCAAATGACACCCCATGGAAAAGCTGCAGGTTTTGTGGCAAAGGGACGAAAAGTTTTGGGAATATGAGTGGGAAAGAAGGAATTCATAGTGTTGTTAAGAATTATTCAGCAAATACTGAGCAGTACCATGTGCTAGGTATAGCTGATCCCCAATACATGATCAGGCTGTGTTTTAAGGGACCATCGTAAGACTGCAAAATCTTTCCCCACTAATTTTGTACCTAGTAATTGGGAGTATTAAAAGGAGACAGATAAGCCCTAACTTTCTTGAAATGGGTACCTAGCACAGTACCTTCACACATCAACACAGGCACTCCATACATCTTTGGTTGAATGGTTGAAACAGAAAAGAGCCACATACAAAATATTTTCAAGGGTTTTGTTGGCTTAATTTTTTTCCTTTAACTGGTAATGATGCACATAGCAAAAAAGACTTCGCTAAATTTCAGGTGCTTTTCTAATTTTTCAGAACAGCAGCATATTTTCAATGCCAAACCTTCCTTTAAATACAAAGAGGATACTCAAAATGGAATTCTCATAGTGGATCCTACAACTAGTTCTGTCAATGAGATGGAGAGAATATTCTCTGGACTCAACACACAAGCAGGCACAGCTAAGAAAAAGGAGTGCACGGGTGAAGGCAATGAAATAAAGATGCTATTCAACACATGACCTTTTTACATTCAGTCATTCTACCCAGGAATTGACTTCCTGCTGTACTTAAGATTCAGGGATAATACTGTGCCTCTAAGTAAACATAACTAGACGAGTACTTACATTTAAGAACAAAGCCTCCAGAAAGGTGTAAAGTTTATTAACATCTTTAAAAAAAATGGAACAGCTACTGTATTCGGGATAGTTAATAAGTTTTACTGTAGGAGGACCATTTTAATCAGCATTTCAAATAATCAAAGGAGTACAGTTTTTTCCTAGAAATACCAGTATCTCACTCTACAGGTAAAAGATACTGAGAACATTAAGTGATTGCCCCAATTAGGAACAGATAAGCAAATACCTTACATATTTTAACAAAGGGTAACCACTACGTGAATTTTCACAAAATTACTCTTGTGCCTTATTCAATCTGCTTAGAAAAGCTGGCCTTTAAAAAAAAAAAGGGGTGGGGGGCAGCACATGAATATGTCTCCATTTAAGTACATGCTCTCAGGGTAGTTAAAGAGAAAAGTTGAATTTAGGGCTTCCAGAGTTTTAGAAGTCCATCTTCACTGTAAGTAGCAATCAAGTTCTGATGAGGGTGATGTGCAATACCAATCACATCCTTCTCATGAACCTGGAATACGTAAAGCACAGGGTTAGGGCATATAGGTAGTCTATTATAACAAAACCAGCCTGAAGAAGCTTCCAGAGCTGAGTGGAAAGAAGAGTGAAGCTTCTACCTCTCACCAAAGGATTCAAGCCTAAGGTAGCCCCAGAGAGGGCTAAACAAACAGAAACCAAAAACGAGGCTATTTACACTTGTGCACTATAGCTGGTCCTAGGCCAAGACAGTGGCTGAGACCAAACAATTCCTTCAACTCTGGGAACTCAGTATTTCCTGAGTTGGAAAACCACATTGTTATGTTCACATCTTCAATCTGTACTGGAGGCTTCACAGGGCAGGTATACCAAAAGTTAACTTGAACAATTTGAGATGAGATTATTCTCTAACAGAGGTATGTGTGTAATTTTTCATACGTTCACCAGACCACTCCTTCCTGGACCACAGATGACTACATTTTCCCTGCCACCCCCCACACCCCTTGCATTTGGGCTGTGGGCACGTGACTGAATTCTAACCAAAAATGGATAAGGAACAGATTAATAAAAACCACTTCCAGACGTGGGTCTTGAAAAACATCCAATATACCCCTCCAGTTATCGTTTCTCCTAAGATTTCAGAGGCCACGTATTCCAAACGGTGCATCTTAAAGACGGAAGAAGATGATGCAACTTCTATCACACTGTGACATGAGAGAAACTTTCATTGTGCTAGGCCACTGAGATTTGAAGATTGTTACAGCAGTTGCCATTAATTACTCATACTACTGACTCTCACACCACAGAGCTGCTTAAAATATAATTGGTTTGATAGGATAATACATAAATAATTTACCTTTGAAAGGACATGGGAGAGGACTAGCTATATCTGCCACTCTCCAATTGCTCTGGGGAAGGTCTGACTAATCTAGCTGGCTTGTTCCCTTCTTTTCTGCTTTCCATCCTGAGGAAAGCTGAGGGATCACTAAAGGATGATACAAGAGATAATTCCATACAGTTACTATGGGCCCTATATTTAGTGATTAATTTTTTAATTTTTTTATACCAAGGTTCACACTGATAGCAGGCTGGAAAGGTTTACTTCAGAGTTCAGAAAGACAAGCATTAACCTAATTTCTGTAGATGGCCTTAAATTAGTAATACTTACTGTCAAAGTTCTCTCCAGTTTGCCAGTGACTGTGCTGAAACAGTAGAGCACAAAGTCCTCCCCTACACAGTAGATCCATTCCCCACGGGGAGAAAGGGCACAGCAAACAAAGTCACCACCTTCTCTCTTACCAGAGCTGAAGCTTCTGACAATCTAGATCATAACACAACACCCAAGGTAAAAACAAAACATGGATTAGCAACAGTTCTGCTGCAGCAGTTTAAACTGACAACTCTTTTTATTTTGTACTTTGGTTTACTGTCATTCATAACTAGATTACCAATTCCATTAACCGTGTGCTAGATCCTCTGGCCTGGGCAATATTCAAAGGATAAGCTATCTGAAGTCAGTGGCAGAATTTTACAATTCAGATGTCCCAAGTCACCAATCCCGCTCTTTAATAGTCTACTGGGCCATTTTACCCAGAAGCAAAATGATTATCACACACAATTTCCTGAATCAACATAATACCAGTTCTCAAAGCTCTGTGGACCCATGCTTCCGTTTCCTTTTTCTGACAGAATGGGATGCCCTCCACATTCATGATAGAAATCTGTCTCCAGGACTTGCTCTAGTTTATATACCATTAAAATAATCATAAATCAAGTTGAGAAAACCGATCTCAAAAGGTTATATATGATTCCATTTACTATTCTCAAAATGAAAAATTATAATGGAAGAGATCAGTGGTTGCCAGGGGCTCTGACTGCAAGGGAAGGGTTTAACTATAAAAGTGTAGCACGGGGGAGTTTCTTTGGGGGTGATGAACAGTTCTGTATCTTGACTGTGGTGGTTACGTAAGTCAACACATAAGATGAAAGTGGTGGTTACATAACACGAGATGAAATTTCACAGAACTATTCATGTCCTACCTCAAAAATGAATGCATGTTAAAAACCAGTGAAATCTAAATCAGGATTGTATTTGGGTTAATAATTCTGTACCGATGTCAATTTCCTGGCTTTGATAATTGTATAATGGTTATGTAATGATAACATCATCATTGGGGGATGCAGGGGAAAAGAGTACAGGAACTCTGATCTCTTTTTGCAACTTCATTTTGGCCCTTTTTTTTTTTAATGTTTTCTTTATTTTCTAGTGGGGGTAATTAGATTTACTTATTTTTTAGATGCAGATACTGGGGATTGAATCCAGGGCCTCATGCATACTAGGCACGCACTCTACCACTGAGCTATACCCTCCCCCTGTTTTTGCAACGTCTTTGTGAATCTAAAAACAAATTTATTTTTAAGTTTTTAAAAAGCAAGCAGAAAACTAGGAAGTGGGCAGCTATGGCTATTATGCAATGTCCCAGCAGATACTACAGACCAGCCATCCCAACCATGGAATCTAAAGTACCAATTTATCATTTATAGGGACTCAAACAATGGAGAGAGAGATCCACTCATCAGCCCGTGGGTCTTCTCCATGCTCAGCAGGATCACCAAGTGCCCAGGCCAACATTTCAGTAGCATCACAACACATTCTCAAGGCCTGAGACCTCAACCTTGTGCCTGTGTCCCTGGTGCTTAAACAGCGAGGTTCTGATTGCAAATACACATCGTGAAGACACTGTTGCTCTTCTCCTATTGGAGTTCCACCTCAGATCATATGGTAGCTAGACGTCCCAAGCTGGTAAGGCACACACTGTCTCTCTCCTACACAGGGATTATTACATCTTAAAATTTTCAGTGAGGTTTTCTGAAGGAGGCTTAAAGACAGTCTCATTTATCCAAAGGATGCAAAGAGCATAATCACCCTGGGGAAAGGAGATAACTTTTGAGATGCCGAAAAGATGTTTTGTTGATGTAGAATTTAAATATGTGTCTGGAAAACAAATACAGTGTATATGGTTTTCAGAGTGGTGAACCCGTACTTGGTTACTGAAGTGTGAGGACCAAGACATGCTGATTTGGGAACGGCCCCAGGGCTTGAACAAAGGCACTTTTCTGAGCACTCACCTGTCCCTGCATGTTCATGATCACCACTGTGTTTGATCTGTTGCAAACCACAAAGTGCTCTGGGTTTTTAGGAAGCAGGATCACACTGTTGACAGTGATGTCTGTCCCTGCAGTGCTGCCCAAGGATTTAAAGGTATTTGAACATTCTGTGGTCTTCATGTTCCAAATCTACAATACAAAAATTTAAGGCATAAACATTGGGGGGGACATTTAACAATTTCTAAAGTTTTAGAGTTGAAAAGTAAGTTACTAAAATTAAAAAAGAAAAAACTTCAGGAAAAAAAAGCTTCTTATAGTCCAAACACCTGGCACTGCAACATATTACATAAGAACTCCCATATTTCCTGATTAATTGGTATAAATAAAATAAAAGCCAAAAAGCTAAATAATAAAACACTTAACGAAATCTATGATCTTTTCCTACAAAATTTTCCTTGACTAACATAACAGTCTTTTAAGTTTATCTTTAAAATTAGTACGTATCAACACTGCTACTGTCATAAACAACCAAAATGCTACCTTATCTGGCCACCAAAACCAAGTGAGGGTTTGTTTTGTTTTGTTTTTCCAGATTTACATGCTCAGGACCCTATCCTGAGATTCAGATTTAGTAGGTCTGGGGTGAGACATAGGTTTGTGCATTTTTAAAAGCTCCACAAATGATTCTCACGTATATATTGTACTAACCACTGAACAGAAGTCATAATGTTAACAAACACACACACACACATGAGGATCCATGAAGTGGAAGCTACTCTTGGCCACCTATATTACCTCCCCAGTTCAACATCTCTTCTGCTAATAGTTCTCCACCCTAATGCTTTTCACTTTGCCCCTCTGAGCCATTATGAACTGAAGGGGTTAAACCAGACATCATAGTTACTGAAATCTGAGATGTGCTTAGAGACGGGATGGACCAAATATTGCCCGGCATTGTCTAGACACCATTCAGTGAGGTGTAACCTCAAAGGCATGGACTACTGTGCTGCTGTGCCTTCAACAAAGCCCATCACAAATGTTGAATAAATATCTATAAACAGCAAATCATTGCCCCACTAGTGCCAATATTTATTTGCTTCATAAATACTGTATCATTTGCCCCAATCTCCTCTCTAAAGCCCAACTGCCTAGAACAGAAATTAACATTTCTTCCAGGGATCAAGAGTTCTAAGGCTAGATTCTAGAGTTTTCTGTCCAAAAGGTCAGTGAGATGCTTTACGCCATTCACTGCAGAGCTAAAGGAAAAGACCACAAAACCAAGAGGCCTACACAATCCACCCCAATGGCATTTTACAGGTGGTGAGGCCCACAAACATAGCATAAAGGGCAAATCCCATGACTAAACCACTAACAGCTCTGTTATTTCCCCTGTCTATCCTGAGAAAGAGTATATCTCGTACCTTCAGGTTTCTGGTTCAATTCCCAAGCCAGAACAAGCCATCTGAGAAGGTGGTCTGACTATTAGAGATCTGTGTTAGACTGTTTAGGTCTTCTGCCAGAGAGCCCTCGCTTACGTAAGGCAATTTAAAAGCAGGTCCAGAACGTAAATGGAGTCTCTTAAAGATCTCCAGCAATTTTCTATTTGGATTTCCCATCTTTTCTAGGAAATGAGGCCCTCTCAAAATAATTACATCTCTTAAGGTACTAAAGATCCATTACTTTCAGCTGAGAGCTGAAGGCACTAAGTATCTGAGCAAGGACTTAGTTCTACTCTACACCCCTCCTGTTCTTCTGTAAATGCTGCTAGAAAGGCCCTAAATGTGGGGGCCAGGGGTGCGGTGAGGCTGTGCAATAAAAAAGAGACCTATTTATTCAACCACTGAGCCCTTTGTGAATTTGAGTGTGGATCATACTTATGGCAAGATAGAATTTAACCACTGTAAATGGGGTCACATTTAGAACTCCACATCTCTCCTCTTCTCCTACACATGACAGACTCTATAGGTCTGATTTTGTAGGTTTGAGATTTGAGGTCCCTAGGTCACTAGGAACTGCCCACAGAATATTACTACTATCATAGACTCACCTCAGTTATGGCTAAAATGCAAGTAAAGAGTTTTACCCACCACAATTATCATAACCACCACTGGAAACTACTCAAAGGGCAAAAACGGAATAGACACCCCAAATGAAACCAGTAGTAAATACTTAACCTTTACAGTGCCATCGGAGGATGCACTAATAATATAATGTCCATCTTGTGTGAATGTTGCTTCATTAACGAAGGAGGAATGGCCACGAAATTCCTTCAGGGTTTTTCCAGATTTTAAACCATGAATTCTATCACAAATAAAAGCAAATGAAAAGAACAATTAATATTCTACATTTTATGGTTGGGAACAAGTGTTGAAAGCATTTTAGATGAATTATAGAAGCTCATGTTATAGTAAGTGAAGAAAGAAGGCTATGCAATTATGTATGAAGTATTATTTTCATGTCAAACAAACAAAACCAAAACAAGTTTTGCACAGAGTGGAAGAAAATACGCCAATGATACCACAATTCTGTTCAGCAACAGACTTCTAGGTCTCAGCTGGGTCCCAGGAATCTGTATTTGTCACATGCCCTGTAAGGTGACTCTGTTGCAGATGGGTCCATAGACCACACTTTGAACATGAAACACTGCTAAACCCCCTTTCTAATCTCTCTTCTGGGTAAAGACCCAAATGGACAAAACAAAAGCACTGTTATCAGCTGTACTTCTGGGAAATGAAATCTCACTTATCCTCACTGTCCATCTAAGAACATCCTGGTGAAAACATAAGGAATCATTAGTCCTCCCTCTGGGGCTTCATCATATCAAACCCAAATGAGGGCAGTTTGGGGATTCTTACTTACCGAATTGTCTGGTCAAAAGAGGCACTAAGGATCTGACTGCTATCCTTAGAAAAGCTTAGACAGGTGACACCTTTACTGTGTGCCCTTTCAAATCTCCTTAAACACTGTCCACTCTGAATCTTCCATACCTTTAAAGAAAAAAAAATAATAGTAAAAACTTACAGTGTCCGACACACTACCCTACAGAGCCAAGCAAGAAGCAACACTCACTAATGTAATAAAAACAGTATTAAAAATGCATCCTAATAGCTGAATGTGGTATGTCTGGTCCACACAGTACAATGGTAACTTGAATCCTTTGAAATTTAAATCTCTTTCCTTTTAAATTATTAAAACAGAAATTTAGACTCTTAAGTTCACTTAGCAGAGACCACTTCTGTATTTTATCTAACCCAGGGCATTTTACCAGCAATTAAATACAAGGCACAGCTAATCAGCTACTAATCACTTGCAGACCATTCCATCCCCTAAAAAACCCAAACACAACACACCATGTAAGGTGAGCTATGGTGGCAGAGCAGAAAGGGCCAAGCAGATCTGGACAGAAGTCCCAGAGACATCACCAACTGTGTGACTTTAAACAAATTATTGGACCTCCCTAGGCAGAGTTGTTAGGCTTAAATAAGAAAACGTAAAGTGACTGGCATCAAGCTGACGCTCAATAAAGACTAGCTGTTATTAAGCTAAAAAGCATATGTAGAAGGGGCTTCAAGATGGTGAAATAGAAGGATGCAGAGCTCACCTCCTCCCACAAACACATCAAAAATACATCCACATGTGGAACAATCTTCACAGAATATCTACTGAATCCTGGCAGATCTTATGCTAGCAAAGTTACAAGAGGAATCTCCACGTTACTGGGCAGGACAAAAAAAAGAAAAAAAGAAAAATAATTGGGATGGGACCTGCGCCCCAGGGAGGGAGCTGTGAAAGAGTAAAGGTTCCCTCACCCTGAGAAACCCCTTCACCAGCAGGGAGATCAGCCGGAACAGAAAGGGAGCTTCAGAGGCTCAGAAAGCACAGCAACAGCTTCACAACAGGGAGAATAGAGAGAAACCAGCGCAGGAGATCCAGGACATCTCGCTGCGCTCCTCAACCCGGACACCAGCCTGCTGGTGCATGCAGGAGCTGGTACTGAAACTCAAGCTTCAGAGAACAGACCCAGGGAAAGAACTGGGGTTGGCTGTGTGGAGACAGCCTGAAGGGGCTAGAATGGGTACAGGCTGAAACTGGGAGTGTGTGCAAATGAGCCGGGTCTGCCATAAAACCCCCCACTGTTAGCATGCTGAAGGGAGGAGCAGGACCCTGCTGTAGCGGTCTCCTTCTCGGCTTGCTCTCTAGGCCAGGGGTGGCTCTGCCTCTGGGAGCTCTGGTAGGGCTGGCAGATGGCCCCCAGGCAGAGGTAGGGCTGAGATCTGAGCCCATTCCCAGGGGCCAGCAACTTCCAGGGGGAGCTGAGGTCTGAGCCCTGTCCCAGGTGGTTTCGGCAGATTTGTGCTAACGATGTGTTTGTGGGCTTGATGCTTGCAAGAAATTCAAGTGAAGGGCTGCTGAGCAGCTAGGGCAGGCCCAGCATTAATAGCAAGCATACACATGGTGGCAGGGCTGGGGTCCTGGCTGACCCTGAGCCCACTGCAGATCCAGGTGGGATATTATGGCAGGTCTGAGTGCCTGACTTCAACAGATCTGCCCTGGTGGTTTTGTTGAACAGTGCATGAGCGACACCAGGGCAGGCTGCCTGCATCCCCACAGCTGAATCAGGGCCGAGAGAGGTGCCAACAACCCTGTACTTTATGAGTCCGCACACGGGTGACAGGCGACATCACAGAGGGCACTTCCCAGCAGACATCCCCTGCGGAGGAATACTCAGTGGCTCTTCTCCCAGCAGAAGCACTCCAGCCCCACCTACCACACACAGCAGCTCAGAGAGGAATCTGGGGGCATACACTTCAACAACTGGGGAGCAGACCCAGTCCCCAACAGGGCTGTGACAACCACAGAGCAAAGAGGAGGCCCTAATCAACATCCAGTGCAGGCTCTGGTCACCACAACACCAATCACACCCCCTATAAGGGGATAACAGCCAACACACATGAAGGAAAGATGTGGCAGCCATCCACACTAAAAACAGCCCTCTCATCAAAAATATTAGACACACACAGAGTACACAAGGACACTCCCACATAAAAACAGTCCTTCAAGATGTCAGTAGATAACTGTTACCCCTAAATTGAGTCAGACAAGTAAGTAAAATGAAGAAGCAGAGGAACCACCCCCAATTGAAAGAACAAGAGAAACCCCCTGAAAAAACAATGAAATAGACCTCTCCAGACTACCAGAACTTAAGTTCAAAAAGGAGGTAATAAAAATACTGATGGAATTAAGAAAGGCAAATGATTGTAAAAGGAACTACAAACTATAAAGG